GTGGGATACAGTGTCTTATCTACTGCTAGGAAATATAGAATCCGCTCTAATAGTTCTGGTATAATAAAAATGCTTGAATGTGCCATAAATAGTATATGCTGTATCTTTAATCGAAAAAATAAAATTATGCGATCATTGCTCTGGATTAGTTAGATCAGTAGAGTACCACCATTCTGAGGCTAATATTCTTTTACCAGCTCTATGTTACCAGCGTATACTTAGACCGGTAGAGTACCAGCATTTTGCTTGACCAGCTAGTATTCTATCAAAATAATTTCTTAGTGTTTGACTGTTTATAGTTATAATGGAGTGATCAGCATCAGAGTCGACTGTCATAGATATATTGGAATTAGGTTGTCGGAATGCCTGGTGAAACCGAGTTCTAATAACTGGAGGCTGTCTTGATAATATCTCTACTACTCGCTCTATCTCAGCTTGAATATCATTTGGATCCTGGTAATTCTCGACATAGGTATTTGAATTTAGCTAATCTATGGCTTCTTTGCTAATATTATCACACCCTTCCAAATTGAGATACTTTAAATTAAGACACGAACTAGCAATTTTTTTGATTATTATATCAGTAATTTCACAAAAGGTAATGTTAAGATGCTGGAGCTTTGAAGAGAAACAAATAATACCGCAAATTGAATGTTCAGTAATCTCTGTGTGATAGGCAATATTTAAATATTCTAATTTATGGCATGACTTTGCAATTCTCCAGACCTCCATCATCAATTTCTCGAGCACGAAAGCTTCTAAAGTCACCTAACTGATTATTGCACAGATTGAGATACTTCAGATTCGGATATGAACTTGCTATCAGTTCTAATGCTCTATTACTAAATTCTATGCTATTTATGAAACTCAAATGGGTTATATTTGGGCATAAATGTACAATGCTTATGATTTTTTTATCTGAAAGTAAATGGTAGTATGATATTTCAAGATGAGTTACATTTAAGCAATAAACTGGCATTTGGTTCCTACGTACTAGCTTTATGAATTTTTTCAATTGTGAGAGATCCTTTGTAAGTTCTATCCTTATGAATTTATTAAATCGAGGGCGATCCTTTGCACAGTAATTATAATCATTTGGAAGAGATTGTCCAGAATATAAGTCTTTTCCCTTTAGCTCAATACGCTTTCATAAAATAGGGACACCGCATCTGTATCACAATCAGGATACAAATAGAGCAGAATATAGTGTCTTATCTACTGCTAGAAAATATAGAATCCACTCTAATAGTTCTGGTATGATAAAAATGCTTGAATGCGCCGTAAATAATATACTCTGTATTTTTAATCAAAAAAATAAATTAACCTCTAGAAGAAGAGCTAGAAAAACATTTCTGATTTCAGCCAATTTTTTCCAAATATTGGATAGCGGTATCTGAATTAATATATTTTATTTTAAGATATAATTCAATTTCCTTGATGGTTGTATTGGATATTTTACATCCGTAAATAACGAACTCTTGAATTCTCAGACAAGAATGAATAACATTCCAAATCGCTATTTCAGAAAATTCTTTGCGA